TATGGGCGGGCGTTATACCCAGACTGACAAGCCTCGGACGACTGAGTTTAAAACTCGACTTTTCACTCCTAAAGCTTCTCTTGTCTCGTTTATATCAATTGAAGCAGCTCGATCATCTGATACTGTACGTGGAAATCGCCAAAGATGAACTCGAGAGCCCCTTTTCGGCAATGAATGTTCAGCCTAATAATCGAATCCGATGCCTAGGCTTAGAAGCTCCAGGTGGGATCTTATCAATAGGGTCGTATCGAGGTTTCGCAGTCAGTTTATCGATTACATCTATTACACAGTTGTATCTTTGCTGGAGATCGTGCAGCGAGTGAGAAATCTCGCCATTTATTACTTGGGTCTGCTCGATCATGTTAATTTCTTTGAGTATGGCCAACCTTTCAGCTGACAGCTCATCTTGATTGAGCGTCCTGAGCAAGTTGGTATTTTGCGTAGAGAGAAGTACCATGGTCGGGCACAAATATTTCCTATATTGACCAGTAGATGTCCAATTTAATCGTTTTGTAGGTATCTGTGTACCATGCACCGATTAGCTATTGACAGTTACTATAAGTCTTGGTGATGGCGAAGTCGGCATACTGGGCGTAAGCGCTAGTGGTATCGCTGGCTGTTTTCGTCCTCCCATGTCAGGACCTCATTCTACGCCTACTATATCCCTTTACTGGTTTAGGGTCATTCTAGTTGATCCACTTCATTTGACGCTAGCTAAAGAAGGAATCTGTCGGCACTGTTCAAAAATGCATCTCACGCTTCCTTAACCCAAGTAAAAATACTATAAAAATGAAGAATGTGTAAAATAGGACTACCGAATGGATTTAAAAGACAAGTCGATACTGGTCGTTGAGCCTGGGAGGTTGGTGCCGGTGATCAGCCTCGTCGCCACGTGCGTTCTTTCGGCCCCTCTTGGCAGTGCACCTGTGACCCATAATTTCTACAGAATATTCTGCAACCAACAAAGCCTACTTTCTTGATCTAATTAGCTATATCCTTTTTCGATTCACAGCGCACTTGAAGGCGTTGTTAGGCTCTGTTGCAAAAATGAGTTGGAAGGCAACGAATCCCCGCATTATCCAAATGCGAGGAGGGCTTGTAAAAGATGGGTGGAATGGCGCACCAAATTCCTTGAACTGCACGATAAAAATGAATGAGCTCCCGTTGCTTCCATAGTTATGGGAGGAGGCATCCCACAGACTGCAAATACCGTTCGTGAGGATTGACCAGCCTCAACACACACGCTTTTGAATTGATCGCTTATGCTTCGTACATCGATTTCCAACTCCTTTTCATTTCCTGTCCTGGAAGGGGTGAATAGCCGAGAGTTGATGGCATCAAGGCACTCACCGAAGGGGACAAATTAGTTGACACCCCTTGCCACCCGCCAAACCAAATCTCAATCAATCCTCTCATTCCCCCTTCAACACAGCTTGTATACGAGGCCGGGAGCAAATCGGAATATGGCATTTTTCCAGAAATAATTCTCGTAACAAACG